TAGTGCCTCCTTCGGTGAAGGTCTGTCTTTTCTGATAGGCTATAAGCTCCTTGAGGGCAAGGGCCCACTCTGATGGAGTTGTCCTCAGATCCATGCACAAAAATCTGGAGGCCAGACGGTAGTGCAGTGGTAGAACACGGTGTGAGAACACGATCCACATGGGAGGGCTCCAGATTCAGTCTGGGCATTACCGGAGTATGCTGGGAATGGGGCTGCCTGTGAGGGGGCGCTGGCTGAGGCTAGGGTGGATTATGGTGTCAAGACCTGTTAGGGTCTCTATCTCTTTCACTCAGAGAAGAGAAACTTTAAAAAATGAAAGAAAGGGACCAGCAGTTAGCGTAATGGCTATGTCGCTGGACTCCCACGTAGTCGACCGCGGTTCGAGTCCTGGACCCAGTGGCTTAAACTCACGCCGGGCGCATGTGCGTGCGTGCCCAAGATCCTGAGAGGAGAATGGAGGAGAAGGGATTGCACCATGAACACCCCACCTAGGGGGTGATCTCTCGCTTTCTGTCTCTGGCGAGCGCACATGTCCTATAGCAAAAACTTCTCAAAAAAAAGAAAAAAAATGAAAGAAAGAAAAAGAAACAGACACCAACAAATAGCTTCTCGGCCTTTTGGCTAAGATCGAGTGTAGAATTGATGCTCCAGTCCTTACTAACCCTTTTCTGGCCAACATAACTTGGCTCCCCCGTCACCTCCGGGACCTGCCTTCTCACGAGTCCCACGTCAGGGACTTTGCACATGCTTTCCCCCAGCCCCAGGTATCCACATGGCCCTCCCTCCCTTCCTTCAGGTGTTTTCTCAGGTGCTCTTTTCTCAGTGAAACCTTTTTAAGATTATCTAATACCCATCCTTCCTACTCTTCTTCCCGGATTTATTTCTCTTCACTTTAGACTGTAGCCCTAACATATAACACTTGATTTCTTTCTCTTGGCTACTTGTAGGCTGCATACTAGATAGCAGCTCCAGGAGGACAGGGGCTTTGGCTGGTTTTACTGATGGATGAATTCCCAGTGCCTAGATCTGTGCTCGGCTCACAGTGGGTGCTAAATAATTACTTATTGAATCAATTAGTGAATACATATTTTTACTTATCATTGCATTTCTGACATCTTGCACACTGCCCAACACATGGTAAGGGATGAATAAACCTTCGTTGAATGAATGCATGAATGAATGAACAGTGCCCACCTCTTACAGTTCCTGCCGTTCTCCCGAAAGCCTTTGGCAAAGGGATTGGCTGCAATCTTCAGTTGTGTGATCTGGGGGCACATGCACAGCGTCAAAGCTCTTGTGACTTCTACGGGGTGCTGCCACCCCTTCAAACAGGCTCACTCACCCGTGGGTTCTGGTAGGCTGTCACGGAGATGAAAGTGGTCTCGGGAAAGCGGAATGAGGCCACGCCCCCCCAGTGCTGGCTGCAGAGCTGGGCAGCCCGCACCAGGTGTATTCGGGGCTGGTACTTGTGCATGGAGTGCAGAATCAGCTGGGAGGGAAGAAAAGAGAGTGATTCCTTGTCCTGGGCCCTCACCTTGACCTCCCATCCAGTGCCACCCTAGCCCCTCTCCTGGGGCCCCAGCCTGGGCCTCACGTGGCCATGGGGATCCAGTGTGCTATTGGTGAGTTTGACGCGATGGAAGGACACAGGCTGCCGCATCCCATGGGCACCAGTGGCG